ATCACTCCATCTTAGAAGATATCCCATATCAGTATAGTTATTTGTACTGGGGATTGAATCCAGCAGTGCTTAACCACTGAATGACATCTCCAGCCTTTTTATTTTTTGTTTTGAGAAAGGGTCTTGTTAAACTGTTTAAGGTCTCACTAAATTGCCAAGGCTGGCTTTGAACTTGTGATCCTCCTGCCTCAGTCTTCTGAGTTGCTGGTATTATAGGCATGTGCCACCATGCCCAGCTCTCAGAACATTTTTTAAAATAATTTTTAGTTGTTAATGTACCTTTATTTTAAAAATTTATTTATATGCAATGCTGAGGATCGAACTCAGTGCCTCACACATGCCAGGCAAGGCTCTGCCACTGAGCCACAGCCCCAGCCCCTCTCAGTACGTTTTTTTAAAAATAAAAAACACAAAACAAAATTGTTTCAGAGCCTAGAAGGAAGCCTAAGTAGATGTTCTCAGATAAGTAAAGATAACAAGAAAAATATGAGGACCTGATCTGTCCCTCCATTTCTCCTTCATTGACTCATCTAACATGTTTGAAGGTTCACCACATGGAAGGCATGTATCGGGAGTATAAAGATGAATTAGAAACCATTTCAACCTTCTAGGAGCCACAGAACCTCAGGGAAGACACCCAGACAACTGTAGTGCAGAGTGATATGGCATCACAACACACAGCAGCAACACATAGGATTAAGTGACCAACTCTACTCTGCCAGGAACAAAGGCTAAGTAGCATTAGCTCAAATAGTGCCCTATGAATGCCTACAGCGATCCTTATTAGTCAGGGTCTCACTGGCTAAGTTCCAACAGTTCCAAGATTGCAATAAGCAGTGAAAGTTATCCTAACATGTTTACCAAGAAATCAATTACTCATAAAATTATTTCTCAAACATCATTCCTTACTTAATATTCCTTACTTAATATTTTTGTCTTTTTTTTTTTTTTTTTTTGCTACCTGGGATTGAACCCAGAGGTGATTAACCATTGAGGCACATCCCCAGGCCTTTTCATTTTTTGAGAAAGGGTCTTTGTGGGAGACCAACCTTGCACATGACTGAGTCACACTCCCTGGCTGGGTGTGGAGTCTGAGGCCATCACTGAAGGACAGGTGCTCAGAGGAAGCCAGTGCTTCTTGGGTTCCAGGGATGGTGTCTCGTGCATGGGTGTGGCTTCCTACAGCCCCATGGATGGAGTTACACTCACCTGTTCCTTTGTAATATTACCCCTTGCCCTGTTTGGGATAGAATCTTCCATGGAAACACCTTTTGTGTGTTCCTTTCTCTTACTGTGCCCTTGGGTGTGGCCTACCTAGATGTCAGTCAACCTGCTGACAGCAGACATCATAAAGCTGGACTCAGCCCCCTGACCTGACCCCTTGCCTCATTTGAATAGCTTCTCCTCAATAAAAGGGGTCAGCACGTGCGCGCTCTCTCTCTCTCTCTCTTCGGACCCTAAAATCAGAGGAGCCGTCACAGCACTCCCAAAAGAAAAAGGTATCTCTGTCTCTTGTGTGGTTATTTTGCACAGCCCAGTTAGCCCAACTCCCCTGGAGTGACCCCTGAGTGTTTTAGTCGCGAGAAACTCGGCAGGTCTTGTTAAGCATCTTGGGGTCTCACTAAGTTCCTAAGGGTGGCTTTGAAAGTGTGATCCTTCTGCCTCAGCCTCCTGAACCATTGGGATTGCAGGAGTGCACCACCACCTCAGGCCCAATCCCTGCTTCCCCCAAAAGTAATAGTATATTAGCAAATCTGATGAGAAAGCACTAGAAACCACCCAAAAGGAAATGTGGAGAGGAGAGAGTTCACCACAGACTCCACTCCTCGGAGATGAGCTCCGCTGTGCTGAGGGGTGAGGGAGGTGGGAAGAGCCCAGGCTCAGGGCAAAGCTGGCCAAAACCCTGCCGCGTGTCTGTGAGGCCCCTGGGGGCCCCCGTCCCCATCAGCCCCACTAGACACTCCACAAGGACTTTCACACTCGCCCTCTGCTCTCTGCCCTCCAGCTAGTCAGTCCCCGAGGTACTCCTCGGTCATTCTTTCCCACAGGACTCCCAGCACTGGCTTCCTCTGGGCACCTGTCCTTCAGTGATGGCCTCGGACTCCACACCCGAGTGAGGCCTCCAGGTATCTTCCTCAGGCAGCTTCTTCTTCAGAGGCCCACCAGCCGCTGTCCTCTGAGGGGAGTCTGGGCTTGTTACCGCAGTTCGAAGTCCCAGCCGCGTGGACCAGATGACCTGTGGCCTCCAACTTCCATTGTACTGCCTCTTTCTTCACTAACAAGCACAGAGCATGTGCTGCAGCAGCGCCATCATATCACCAGAGATCAGTTGCTGTCAGTCAAGTTTCAGAGGCAGGTCACCCGACACGCACACCCTGTCACCTGCTTCTTGAACTTCCAGGTTGGACGTCGATGTGGTTAGAGTAAAAGCACCGTGGAAGGGTGACTTCAGGTCTTACCAGAAGCAGCCAGTTGGCTCCTCTCCATGTTCAGAGCCCATGGAAGGAATCACACACCTGAGGTTTGAGAGAACACTGAGAACAGACCACAGGGAGACACGGCTGGGCTGCAGCTCTGTGGTGGGCATTGCCAGCACCTGTGAAGCCTGGGGCTAAATCCCAGGACTGCAAGGGGCAAAGAAGAGGAAGATGAATGCCTGCCCAGGAGAGCGCCATCTGCACCACACCTGAGGAGGGCTTTCCCATGCAGACAGGCCCTGCCCTCCACGGGGCACAGCGCCTAAGCCATTCAAGACCAACCTGGAACAAGCTGTGTGCCTCCACCAGCGTGGCTCTGTTTGTGTCCCTCTGTGAATAAGATCAAGGTCTACAGCATGGAGCACCACTCAGGTAAGAGTAACAGTCCAGACAGCGGGAAGAAGGGGGTTACTGGCCAGTAGCAGATCCTGGGAGCCCTGGGTAAGCATGATAATTTTAGGCTTCTATTAGAATTGCCTTGCCTCACCTGGGGAAAAAAGAAGGCGCGATTTCATTGTTAGGTCTTTGAAGATTTCCTACGGTCCCTCTAACTCCAGCGCCACAAGAACTCACAGTCCCACTGAAGGTCTTACAATTTCCCCTCCTGGTGAAGGGACCTTCCCAGTCACCCCGTGGAAAGGCCACCGCAGCACGTTCCAATCTGAGGAAAATCTGCCACCAAGTTAGTTAAATCAAGTTTCTGAGCTCCTCACCTAGCCTCTTCTACATAAGTGTTCACTTTGGTACCTAGTGTTGATTCATAAATATGTATTATTTTTTTTTTAATTTTCCTTTTTAGCTATAGATGCACACATCTTTCTTTCTTTCTTTTTATGTGGTGCTGAGGATTGAACCCAGGGCCTCACACATTCGAGACAAGCACTCTACCACAGAGATACAGTCCCAGCTCCCATATTATTTTTCTTAAAGAAAATTGTTGGAGCCTCATGCCTGTAACCCCAGCTGGAGAGGCTGAGACAGGAGGATTACAATTTTGAGGATAGGCTGACCAATTCAGACAAGATCCTGATTAAAAAATAAGGCTGGGATATAGCTCAGTGGTAGAGGGCACTTGGGTTCAATCCCCAGTACTGCAGGGGAAAAACAAAATCAGAATTGTATATGCTTTGGGTCACATAGGACCTAGAAATACCTTGGGTACAAAATTTGTGTGTGTGTGTGTGTGTGTGAGTGTGAGAGAGAGAGTGTGTGAGTGTTTAACCAGAGATTGAATCGAGGGATGTTCATTCCCTGATCCACATCCTCAGCCCCTTTTATTTTTTGAGACAAGTTCAAAGCCAGCTGAGTTCAAAGCAACTTAGTGAGACCCTGTCTCAAAAAATAAAAAGGCCTGAGGATGTGGATCAGGGAATGAACATCCCTCGATTCAATCTCTGGTTAAACACACACACACACACACGTGAATATATATATATATATATTTTCAAGGATTGATATAATTTAAATGGTAAAAATAAAACTGAAAATCAGGCCTGACTTCAAAGGTCATGCTCTTATCATATCAATATTTACCTTGCGTGATACAATGTTGAATAAAGACCTATCCTTGGGCTGGGGATGTAGCTCAGTGGTAGAGCACTCCATAGCATGCCAGAGGCTCTGGATTCCGTCCCAGGCAAAGCAACAACAACAACAAAACAAAACAGCAAAACCCCAAAACAAAACAAAAAGCACAAACAAATCCACATTTACCCTTATCTGAACTGCTACTCAAATCAAGGTCTAGCCTAAATGTCGTTTTTGCTATCTTCCCAACTCCTCCAGGAAAAAAAAAAAAATCTTGTTCTCAGCTGTGCTTCCCTAAGTTTTGTGTGTGTCACTGAGCTACCTCCTCAGTCCTTTTTATTTTGAAACAGGGTCTCTTTATATCACCCAGGCTGACCTCGAAGTTGAGACCTTCCTGCCTCGGCCTCTAAGTAGCTGGGTCCCCGGGCGTGGGCTCGTGGCACTGTGGGGCACCTATACTGAACCTCATCACCCGTGCAGTTTCCCTGGGAGTCCTGGAGTAAGGCGTGCTCTTAATCACCCTCTGACCCTACCAGGTCCCATCGCTCCTGGCACAGGCAGCGTCGGTTAAAAGGGGATAGGGCTCTGCCAAGTCTGACAGAGAAGACGAGAAATGCACAAATAACCTGGGTCAAAAGTCGTGCTAAAGGAGAGCCATAAGCTGGGTGGCGGAGTGCGGAGGGGGCCCACGGCGGCCAGCAGCGGTCAGGGAGGGCTCGGGCGCTCCGCAGGGCCTCAGCCCCACACCAGCAGGCGGAGAAGCGGGACCCTCGCGCTTGGGCTGAGGTCCTCCGGCCTGGGGTCTTGGGAACTCAACAGTCACCCAAGCGTCAGGAGTTCTGGGCTGTCCTGAAAGCCACCTCCCTGGGGACACCGCGAGGTAGAGTGTCCCGACAGCGCGCCGCTCCGCCACGGCCGCCACCGCTCCAGCTCTCGCGAGATCCGCTCGGCTCAGCCCCGCACGGCTCTTCCGGTGCGGCCCGGAAGCGGAAGTGCGCTCTCCGGTGGCGAGGCGGTGTCCGGTTCGGTGGTCGCTCCGGGCACCCGTCGCTTCTCCTGTCGGCTCCGGGGCGCATCCCGCGGCGGCGGGGCGCCGGGCGAGCGCCATGAGCACCATGTTCGCCGACACGCTGCTCATCGTCTTCATCTCCGTGTGCACCGCCCTGCTGGCCGAGGGTGAGGCCGGGACCCTCGGCGGCGGCGGGATCCTCCGGCCTGCGGTGCCCGCGCTCGCCCCTGACGGACCCGCGGCCCTGGGCTCGGGTGTGGGAGCAGTCACTCAGGCGTGGGTGAGGCGCAGAGCGTGGGGGCCCCGCCCGGGCAGGCGCCGGGGCCTCCGGTGGCTCGTGGGTCAGGTGTCGCTTTTGACTTTCAGGCATCACCTGGGTCCTGGTGTACCGGACCGACAAGTACAAGAGGCTGAAGGCCGAAGTGGAGAAACAGAGCAAAAAACGTGAGTGCGCAGGGACGGCGGACGGGAGTTCGGGAGCCACGTTCCCAGGGTGTCGGGGGCTCGGCCGAGCGACGGCTTCGTAGGACACGAAAATAACGCAGCTTGAGTTGAAGTCTGTTTATGAGCCTGCACAATGAAACGTGGGCCGCGGTAGTGAGAGCTAGGGAAGGGGCCCACTTCTGTGGGCACTGCGAAAGGCCCCTGATGCAGATGACCCTGCAGGCCCTCGTGGATAGAGAATGAGGCGGGGGAAGGAAATTCCAGGTAAAGAAATATGGGAATTTTAATGTGTTAGATATGTTTGAAGAATAGCAGGCCATTGTGACTAGTGTGGAGGTAAGTGATGTCTTCAGGATAAGCCAAGTTTTCAGGTGGGTGAGAAGGTTGAAGAAGTGTTTGAGGAAGAGATTGAAGTTTGTCTTCTCTGAAATCAAACAGGAATTCAGCATGACACAGCTGAGAATGTGATGAGAATGGTTTCTTATAGGCACAATTTGGCCTTCGATATTTTTTTCTTATTTCATTTGAGCAGCTGGCAGTGTTACTCAATGGGACAGTGTTTGCCTGGCCTACACATGCTCAAGTGCTGAATCTGATCCCCAGCACTGTAGGCAAAAAAAAAAAAAAGATACCTTTGCTTATTTGATCAACATTATAAAAAAGGAGATTAAGTCTCAGAAAGCTAATGATATACTCAGACAGAGCAACCAAAAGAAGTAGAGACCAGGCCAGGTGTGGTGGTGCACGGCTGAAGGAGGATCTCCAGTTCAAAGCTAGCAAGAGGGAGCCACTAAGCAATTCAGTGAGACCCTATCTCTAAATAAAATACAAAAAAAAAATAGGGCTGGGGATATGGCTCAGTGGTGCAGTTCCTTTGAGTTCCATCCCACCCCTCCCCACAAAAAAAACCCAAAAAGAATTAGAGACCAAACTCAGCACATACTCCTCCCCATCCTGCCCTGGAGGTGTGATTCCGTTGCTGAAGGCCTCCTCTGGTTTCAATCCCAATGCCTTGGGGAGGGCAATTGAAGGAGGAGGATCTCATTTCTAGGCTAGCCTGAGCAATTTAGTGATACCTTGTCTCAAAAAAAAAAGAGGATATAGCTCAATGGTGGAACACTTCTGGGTTCAGTCCCCAGTAGCACACACATAAAGACAAAAGACAGTCAAAATGGAAATGACCAGCTGGGTGTGATGGCATGCTTCTGTAATCCCAGCTACTTAGGAGGTTGAGGCAGGAGGATTGCATATTCAAGGCCAGTCTGGGAAACTGGGGGAGCCTTTCTCAAAATTAAAAAAAAAAAAAAAAAAAATAGGGCTGGTGTTCAGTGCTGGAGTGCCCCTTAGTTATTTGTGGTACTGGGAATTGAACCCTGATATCCTCTACCACAGAGCAACATCCTCAGCCTTTTTATTTTTATATATTTTGAGGCAGGGTCTTGCTAAGTTGCTGAGGCTGGACTGGAGCTTGCAATCCTCCTACATTAGCTTTCTTCAGAGTCATCAGATTATGGATGTGTGCCACCATGCCTGGCTAAGTCTTAATATAATATTTTATCAGTATTTGGTTATTGGTACTTATTATTATTATTATTGTTATTATTATTATTAGCTCTACTACTAAGTTACAACCCCAGCCAGCTATTGCTTTATTCTTAGGATGTGGTTTCTGTGTTCTCTGTTGGCAGTTTCAGGAACAGGCTGGTTAACTTAATCATGACCATGGTCAAAGTCTGACTTTTTTAATAAGCTTCTTTGATTGACTCAGCTGTGAGAAAGCTGCCTTTGTTTTTTAAATATAATGCATAATTAGTTTTTACTGTTTTTCTCTGGTGTTCACAGTGGAAAAGAAGAAGGAAACCATAACAGAGTCAGCTGGTCGACAACAAAAAAAGAAAATAGGTGAGGTATTAATCTAAATAAAATTTAAGGATTGGAAAAATTAATTTTTAGATGAAAATATATTAAGGTTTTTGATGGTATGCAAGGCCCTGGATTTGATCCTTAGCACTGAAAAAAATAAAATAAAGAAAATAAAAATGGCTAGAGATGTAGCTCAGTGGTAGAGCACCCCTGGGTGGTTCAATTCCAGTACCCCATCCTCACACACCCAAAATATGATTATCAAAGAGCTTTACCCATGTCGCCTTGTTTCTCAGAAATAGTGAATTACTGCTGTCCTCTTTGTTTTGACTGAGAACTCCTTTCTTTTGGTTCATCACCATTATAGCCCTCTTTCCTTCAAAAATTATTTTAAAAAGGGGTGTGTGTGTGTGTGTGTGTGTGTGTATGTATTTACATACATATAAATTTAAGCAAGTGAAAGTTTGAAAGCCAGTACTATTTTCTGCTCTCACAGGACTTTGTCCCAAGATTTTCTGATTTAATGCCTTAAAGAAGGTATTCAACTGATCTAACTGGTCATTTATGCCACAGTTTATAGGAGAGCTTATAGATGGACTGCCTTTTGAGTTAGTGATGGCATGACAGGGATTGTGCATTGGGGTTCTCCAGAAAGAACCAGTTGTATATATGTACAGATATTGAGATGGAATTTATTGGAAGAATTAGGTCACATGATCATGGATTTTGGTAGGTCTTCCCGTAGGCCATCTGCAAGCTGGAGAACCAGGGAAGCAGGTGGCGTGACTCATTGCAAGTCCGAAGGCCTAAGAACTAGGGAAGCGGATGGTGTGACTCTTGATCTGAGGCCAGAGGTCTGAGAACCCAGGGGGCCACTGATGCAAGTCCTAGCATCCAAAGGCCAGAGAACTTAGAGTTGTGATATCCAAAGGCAGGAGAAAATGGGTGTCCTCCACTCCAGAAAAGAATGAATTTGTCTTTCCTCTGCCTTTGTGTTCTGTCCAGACCCTCAGCCCCTATGAATGGTCTCCACCTGCATTAGGTGGAATGTATCTTCCTTACTTAGTACATTGATTCAAATAACCATCTTTTCTGGAAAACTTTCACAGATCTCTCCAGATGACTTTGTTAGCTACCTGCATCCCTCAATCCAGTCAGGTTGATACCTAGAATTTACCAGCATGGGTTATGAATTTTCTTACGGCTGACTTTTCAGCAGGAGCTATAGCTGGAGACTTATCTTCAGAATGGGCTAAGAAAGGAAGGGCAGGCACTCAAGTGTGACTGAGTGAGGTGTGCATCTTTTCCTTAGTGGCATGGAAATATGGGAAGATGCTTCTTAACTTTAACATATTTTGAACCCTGAATTTATATATTCTCTGTAGGCTTTTCTCTATGCTATTTTGATTGGTTGGAGGTTAATTCATTTTGTGGTCAGAATGGGTGCTGTCATTGCTACTAATTTATTCCAATGAATACAAGAAATGTAACATTTTACAATTTTAAACTTTGCTTTTTGTTTTTTTTTTCCTTTCTTGGTACTGGGGGTGATCCCACGGGGGCTTATCCCCTGAGCAACATTCTCAGCCCTTTTTTATTTTGAGACAGGGTCTTGCTAAGTTCCCTAGGGCATTGCTGTCTTGCTGAGGCTGGCTTTGAATTTGTGATCCTCCAGAGTTGCTGGGATTACAGGCATACACCACCATGCCTGGCTAATCTTCCCTTTTGTCATTTTGGATAATAAATAACTCTAGAATATAAATGTATCTTCTGCATATTTCCAGATTTTTTTCTTCATGAAATATGTTGACATTTTGTAGAGATTTTATTCCAAAAATTCATTGGTAAGAAGGTGCATAGAATTCTTCCCAAAAGGAATAGTTTTTCCTTTGGAAAATACTTGTTGCTTGTATTACATCCTGGGGTTCTTTCTAGGTCACATAGGTCCAGAATAATTCACATGGGACAAGTGAACACTAAATGACAACACTGTTTATCTCCAACACCCAGCATCTTTAAATCCTAGATTTTCAAAGGGAGGCACAGAGGTTTTGGATGCACATTTATTTCACCCTAATAGCTGAAAGAGATGGGAAGTGCAGCTATCTTGGATGACTTGGGCTCCCAGTACTGAGTTGTCTTTTTGCCTTAGGAGCAAAGTCCATTATCTGTGGGTTCTTCAGCAACCCACCAGGATGCGAATGATATGAGATTAAGACCATCCTTACTTATTGAACAAGAGACAACTTTTTGAGAGAATTTATGCTAGTTAACTGATATTAACTAGCAGCTAAGTTAAATCAGAGCCATGGAGTCAGTCAACAAGAAGCTGTACATTTCGAGTAGAATGACTGCAAAACTGTTCTCATAATTAGATGAATCATTATGCTCAAATGTCCAATTCCTGCTGAGAAACAAATTTAGTATCATTTCAAACTAAGTTGTTACACTTATAGCTATTTAATAATGTGACTTTCCTACAAGTTTTTCCTCTGAGGAAACAAGCTCTTGCAGGGAAAATGGAACATTTTAAAAAGAAGATCTTTAAGCATATAGCTTATTAGAACTTGGATTGTTCTCATAAAAACCATGTATTATATAGTAATTATAGTAATTATATTGACATAATAGTCTTCATCAGTGTGTTTAACTTTATAACATAAAGATTATTCACTTTTAGGAATAGTAGTTTGTTTTTGTAATATTGGTAATTAAAAACATCATTGGACATGAAATAACATAAAAATTTATTTAAGCCAGGCTCAGTGGCAATACCTGTAATCCTGGTGACTTAAGAGCCTGAGGCAGGAAGTTTGCAAGTTCAAAGCCCACCTCAGCAACTTAATAAGACCCCGTCTCAAAATAAAAAGGGGTGGGGATATAGCTGAGTGGTAGAGCGTCCCTGGTTAAAAGAGAGTGTAGGTATTGAGGGAGAGAGAGAATATGAGATGTGTTAAATGAGTTAGGAGGGGAGAACAGGTAAAATGGAAAGAATTTAGGCATTCTCCTAGTAGTCTGTTAAAGGTATCATCGGTTTATGGTTATCGAGGGGAGGGAGGTTTATAAAGCTTACTGGCTGTGGGGACATTAATAAGAGTATTGTTTATAACTTGAGGAATGCTTGAAATTTTTTCCCTGTGGAGAACATTCCTTTAGGTTGTATTTGTTTTTCCTTAATGAGCATTTTGTGGATTTCTGAAGACCGATGTTACGTAGGATTTTTAACATTAACTTCTTTGTTTTTACAACTTAATGTTCTGTGGTATTCTTTAAATTTTGTTTTATGCTTTTTGAGGCATGTTAAGCATTTCCTACCAACAGGTTTTTCAGATAGAATTTTGCATGTGTAATACCTCCCTGTGAAGTATATATTTTTCATTTATTGTATCTTCATTCTGTCTTCCATTTTATTTAGAGACTGGGTTTTGCTGAGTTGCTTAGGGCCTTGCTCAGTTGCTGAGTCTGGCTTTGAACTCCCAATTCTCCTGCCTCAGCCTCCTGGGATTATAGGCATGCACCACCATGCCCACTTAGAACATACACTCTTTTTTAAAAGAAATTTAGAAAGGGGAAAAAATATAAGAGATGAGGAGTTAACATTTGAAACTCCTAAGTACAGTCCTTACGGTGCACTTACGATTAACTGATTGGCAGTTCCCACTGGTGTGGTTTAAGAGTGTATATTAATTTACAGTCAGTACATTTATTGCCAGAGGAGATTTTTTAAAATTAAAAATTTAATTTTTTAAAATTTAAAATTAAAAATATTATTTAAACATTTTTAATTAGTACATTATCATTCTTATAATTTTGACGTGTTCATAAATGAGTATAATAGTTTGTTCAATATCAATTCCCCACATTTTTGTTTAAATCTCAATCTTCTGTTGTTCTACTGACAGCAGCAATGATACTGAAGGAGACTGCTTCCATAATCACCAGTGACAAGTTATGTAGCAGCTGTTCTGTGCTCAGCACTGTATGTATTAACATCACATTAATTCTTTTCAGAGAGGCAAGAAGAGAAACTGAAGAATAACAACAGAGATCTGTCGATGGTAAGGGTGACGAATCACACAGCATGTCTTAGCAGCAGGATGATCTGCATCCATGGCATTGCTCTGACTTCTCAGAAATGGCTCACCTGTGAGACCATGGATAGGAATCACATGGTTCCTGGGTAGCTTTTAAGGACTGTCTTAGGGTTGTAATTTGTTTCTTGCTCGGTTTTCCTCTTATACTTTGAAAGAAATTAGCTTATTTTCTTTTTCTTATGTTATTGTTAAATCTTGTGGTGGGTTTGTAATTCCGCTGTAGGAGTTGCAATATTATTGATGGTTTTATTATTTTGTTTTTGTTTTTTGGTACTGTGGATTGAACTCAGGGGCACTTTACCACTGAGCCACATCCTCAGCTTTTTTTATTTTTTATTTTGAAACTGGGTCACTAAGTTTCATAGGTTCTCACTCATTTCCTGAGACTTCCCTCAAACTTGTGATCCTCCGGCCTCTGCCTCCCTGGTTGCTGGGATTATAGGTGTGCTCCACCATGTTTTTTAAGCCCTTTTTGTTTTGAGTGTGAGACATTCCATATAGTACAAAGAAAGTGATTTTTTTACCCATTTACTCAGTATTTCTAGACAGCAGATTTTGTTTAATAGTGTTGTCCTAAAACAAGGATAGGTTGATTATGTGACCTAACTTTTCTACTTAACTCTTGTATACTTAGCATAGGACATCTGAACTGTGCTCTAGTTTTCTCTTACAGAGATACCTTTACTGTACTTATTTATTTTCCAGAAAATTTTTAAGTTAGAAGAGAATATTTTAAAAAGTAGCTTTCCTTACCTGATGACAGTTATTACATATTCGTCATAGCCAATGAAACAGTAAGAGATGAGATGCAAAATGTCAATATATTACGGAGTATGGTGGTGCAGACCTGTAATCTTGGCTACTCTGGAGTTTGAGGGAGGAGGATCACAAGGTTGAGGTCCACCTTTGGCAACTTAGTGATACCTTGTATCAAAATAAAAGTTATAAAGGGCTGGGGGTAGAGCACTAGCCTCTAGGACATGTAAGGTCCTGGGTTCAGTTCCCAGTACTGGGGGTTGGCGGCAATACATTAACAATTCCGAAAGAATCTCTGATGATCTTATATCTTTATAATCTGTGGACTGTGTAAATAAGAAAGAATTGGGTTGCAAATAACAGTGCCTAACAGTGGCCTAGAACCCATGATGGTCTCTTTTCTGCTGAGTGGGCTGGAGGTTGGTAGTCCTGGGCCAGAGGAACATCTCAGCACTGCTTTCAGATCCTCAGGTCCTCGGCCAAAGGCCACCTGATGGTCTGAAGGCTGCTTTGCCTTGGGACATCATGGTCTTCATTCTAGGCAAGAAGAGTGGATAGAAGGCCTTGAGGAATGCCTAGGAGTTTGCCCTACAAATGCCCAGTCAGCATGAGTACTTACATTGCTAATGGCCAGAATTACTTGGCAAGGTTGCAAAGGAACGGAACTGGGGTAGAAAGTGGGTAGTTAACAGACAGCTTTGCTGTGGAGAGCTTTTTAAAAATGACAGGAAACCTGAACTTTGAGGTATGCTTGAGTGGTGGTTTTCTTCAGTATGAAGTTATGATTTGGTTTCTTTATAGGTTCGAATGAAATCCATGTTTGCAATTGGCTTTTGTTTTACTGCCCTGATGGGAATGTTCAATTCCATGTGAGTATCCTTTTGTATGATTTTGCCTAGTAACTGTTATTCTGTTTATATATATACGTGGATATAAACTTTTTGATAATGTTTGATTTTGATATAATTTCATACTTGTTAAGTCACAGGAATAATGTATCTCCTACCCTAATTCATAGTTATTAGTATTTTGCCACGTTTTTTTTTTTTAGTCATACGTGAACTTTTTTTATATTATTAATATTTATTTTTTATGGTTCAGTGGTAGAGGATGTGTGATGGACCCAACACAATGCTTTTATGTTTTTTTAATGTGGTGCTGAAGATCGAACTCAGGTCTCGCCCGCGCTAGGCAAGTGCTCCACTGCTGAGCCACAATCCCAGCCTCATATCTGTTATCTTTTTCTCTTTTCTATATGTACTAATGCTTAGAGTGTTACTCTTTCTTCATATTTGACAGTATATTGTACACTTCTTGTTCCTTTACCCATAACTACTTTAGTGTTTATTTTCTAAGAACATACTCTCTCTCTCTTTCTTAATATTTATTTTTTAGGTATAGGTAGACAAAATACCTTTATTTTCATGTGGTTCTGGGGATTGAACCCAGGGCCTCACGCATGTAGGCGAGTGCTTTACCTCTGAGCCACAACCCCAGCCCAAGAAGAACATTTGCTTATTTAACCTCAAAGCAAGAGCAGAATCAAGAGAACTTAATTTTGATAGAATACAATTACGCAATAGCTTTCATCCTCTGAACATTGAGATGTTTTATTTACAAGGTAAAAACTTGGGCATTATGTGTTCTCTAAAAGCCCCAAGTAGGTTCTGTCTGTTTTTAAATTGGCTGTTAGTATGCTACCGCAGACTGAAGGTAGTCACATGAAGAAGTTTTGACTCTTAAAGTAGAATCTTAACAACTATAATCTGTTTAACCATGAGGTCAGTTACTGTTACCTAAAATAACACATAGCAGACCTGAGTAACTGTTGAATGGCTTTTGACAGAAGTTAGGAAAACATCTTTTTTTTCCTTCTCTCTCTCTCTCTCTCTTTAACCACCCTTGGTGGTATTGGGGATTTTATTCAGGAATGTTCTGTCTCTGGGCTTACATCCCCAACCTTTTTTAAAATATGTTTTTAGTAGTTTTTTAAATATGTTTTTAGTAGTACATGGACAAAATACATTTATTTATTTTTATGTGGTGCTGAGGATCAAACCCAGGGCCTCACACATCCTCTACCACTGAACCACAACCCCAGCCCCCCGACCCTTTTTTTTTTTAAGAATTTTATTTTGGGCTGGGGATATAGCTCAGTTGGTAGAGTGGTTTCCTTGCACAAGGCCCTGCTTCAATCTCCAACACCACCAAAAAAAAAAAAAATCAAAATGGGGTCTCCCTGAGTTGCCCAAGTGGGCCTTGAACTTATCCTTCCTCAACCTCCCAAGTAATGGGGTTACAGGTGTGCACCGCTGTGCCCAGCTCTTTTTCAAAGCATACCTGAACTATACCCTGTGCTTTAGAATTTCCCTTACTTTCTTTTCCTTCTCTTCCTCTAATTTTTCTTCCCTTGCTTCTTTTCTGTCCCTCTCCCTTGCCTCCTCCCCAAGCATATCTTCCTCTTCCTGCCTGTAAAGTGCACATTGTCATAGGCTCTATGTGAGGTATCAGAATATAAGATGAGACCCCTGCCCTCAGAATCAAAATCTTTACAGGAGGAAAAGACAGAGTAAGGAAAAATGAATATATTAATTTTGGGGGTTGTTATGAAATATGTAAGTGGTTGAAAAAAGTAAGTGATTGTTTTATCTAGGTACAGAATTTAGAGAATGTGTCCAAAATGGTTTTAACATAAAATTTGCACTAACTAATCATTAGAATTGTATACCTTTAGAGCTGGAAAGGATCTTCAGAAGATTAAATGACAGGGTCTTGCGATGTTAATTTTAATTAGGGTCTTGCTAAATTGCTGAGGCTGACCTTGATCACCAGTGTGTGGGTGTGGGTGTGGGTGTGCGTGCGCGTGCGCGCATGCGCTAGAATTTGAACCCAGGAGTGCTCTACCACTGAGCCATGTCTCCAATCCTTTTTATTTTTTATTTGAGAAACAGTCATGCCAAGTTGCCCAGGCTGGCCTTGGATTTGTGATCCTCCTTCCTTGGGCTCCTCAGTTGCTGGAATTATAGGCTGGTGTCACTGTGCCCAACTGGCCATCTCAATTTTGATTAGGGATTAAGTAGTGTCTTATTTATTTATTATTTCAAGTACTAGGGATTGAACCCAGGGATGCTGTATGACTGAGCTACATCCCCAGCCTTTTTTATTTTGAGAATAGGTTGCCAGGCTAGTTTCTAGCTTGTGATCTCCTTCCTCAGCCTCCTGAGTCGCTGGGATTATAAGCATTAACCACCATGCCTGACCTTAAGTGTGATTCTTAACAGACTTAATCATATAATTAATACTCACCAAATATTTTTATGAGTAAGGTATTAGGCCTTAGACCAAATGCCTAATTATTTGTGCTGTTAATTGTACTTGATAAAATGTTAAATGCTTTAAATTTTGTGGCACAGGTTTTCCAAGATATAGAAGTCAAAGAATCAAATGGAGTTATCAGGCCTTTTGAAAAAGATGACTGTTGGCAAGCATGAAGGTTATTTGTTGTTGGTTTTTTTTTGTTTGTTTGTTTGGTTGGTTTTTTTTTTGGTTTTGGTTTAGTGTTTTGTTATCAGAGATTGAACCCAGGGGTTCTTAATCACTGAGCCACATCCCCAGCCCCTTTTTATATTTTATTCAGAGAGAGGGTCTCGCTGAGTTACTTAGGACCTCGCTGAGTTGCTGAGGCTGGCTTTGAACTCACAATCCTCCTGCCTCAGCCTCCTGAGCCACTGGGATTATGGGCATGTGCCACCACTCCTGGATTCTTCGTTAACTTTTTTTTGTTAACTTTCTTGTTCAGAGCCCTGGGAAACAATAGCCTTTTATTTTCTTGTTTTATTTTTCAATTCCAGTGAAGGTTTATACAATCTCAGTGTTTAACTATATATTTTAATGCTGTTTTCATGTTTTTGTTCTGAACTTTCTGCACTGTGCATTATTAGAAAAATATAGTATTGTTTCTTGGATTATCAGCACCTGGAATTTAGAAGACTGTCTCCATTTTTATAAACTAGCATATGAAATTTAAATTATGCATTTTTTATTATATAGAACAAGTCATTTAAACTTTTTAATATAATTTCTCTGGTTTTTTAAAAAATATTTTTTAGTTATAGATGGACACAATAACTTTATTTATTTCTATGTTGTGCTGAGTATTGAACCCAGTGCCTCACACGTGTGAGGCAAGTGCTCTACTCCTGAGCTACAGCTCCATACCAGTTTCTCTGATTTTAAGCTCTCAGTTATCTCCTTGTTGTGGATTAGATATGTAATCTCTTAGTATCCCTTTTTAGTCTTAAAATTTGTTGATAGCTGGCAGATTCTTTAGAAAAAAGCCCCAGGTTGTACAAGAAGAACCAGTTGCTGGGAGGCAGCAGAGGTGCTGGATTGGCTTTTATTTCCGTTTGACTTCTCCTCCTGAGTCATTTCCATAAAGCTGACATCATAGAACTTTAGATTATCCAACACATACCTTCTCCCCAGTTCAGAAATCCTTCAGTCAGATTTCCTTTCCAGTGAGAAGCTTGATGTTTTCTGAGATAGCTCATACTTGTATTGAGTAGTTTTAGGGTTTGGAAGTTATTACTTTTACTAAGACAAAATGTGTTTCCCTGTAGAGGCCCTGTCTCCAAATTCAGAGTGGGGAAGGAAATCATCTACCTGTCTATCATTCTTGTTTCTCACCCTTGCTGTCTTCTTTATTAGGCTACGTACCACTTTCTTCAATATGCATCTAATCCCCTAGAAAACTTAATGCATTAAAAGTAAGAATTTGCTGGGTGTGCTGGTACACCCCTGTGATCCCACTGGTTTGGGAGGCTGAGACAGGAGGATCATGAGTTCAAAGCCAGCCTCAGCAACAGCAAGGTGCTAAGCAACTCAGTGAGACCCTGTCTCTAAATAAAATATAAAATAGGGCTGGGGATGTGGCTCCGTGGTTGAGTGCCCCTGAGGTAATTCCCCAGTAACCGCCCCCCCCCCAAAAAAAAAAAAAAAAAGTTAGAATTTTTGGAATTTATTTTCATGTTTGTTGTCCTACAGAGTAGATGTTCACATAGTTGAATAACTTCAAGGACATAAAACATCTTAGTTACAATTTCAGGTTGAATATAACAAAGAATAAAATGACCATAGAAGCTGAATGTGTTGGGTGTGTATGTTAATGACAAAAGGAATTGATGTCTTCTGTATGTCACCTTGCTTAGTAGTCCACCTCTGCAGGGTGAGGGTGGCACACCTGGAGCAGCATGCTGGTTACATCATGCACTCACAAGGTCGAGGTGTTTTATTTTGAAATATTTTTTTTAGTTGTGGCTGGACACAATATCTTTATTTATTTTTATGTGGTGCTGAGGATCGAACCCAGTACCTCACACATGCGAGGCAGGCGCTCTACTGCCAGCCCCAGTCCAAGGTTGGGGTGTTTGTACTGCAGACTTCCTGTGAAAAAGTGAGACTCTCCTCCTGGAAACACTATTACTTTTGTTTTGCTTTTCTGAGGTTAATAGGTTTACGCTTGAGCCTTGCAGTTTAATACACAGAGTGAGGGAGCTGGAAGCGCAGTAAGTAAGTGGACAATTAAACACACGTAAGATTCCCACTTTTGTCTATTTTATGTTCTTTGGAGTACGTTGTACAAGTCTTTTAGTACTTGATTTAAATTTTTTTTCCCCCACCAAAGAAAAAGATGGATTACTTCTTCCTTTTCCCCCCATGGAGACTATCCAAATACTAAGTGTTTTTCTTTTTTCTTTCTTTTTTTTTTTGTAATACTGGGGATGAAATCAAGGACCTTGCACATGCTAGGCAAGCACTGCACCACTCAGCTGTAAGCGCAGCCCTTTGAATTCTTACATTGAGACAGTCTTGCAAAGTTGCCCAGGCTGTCCGTGAGCTTGGGACCCTCCTGCCTCAGCTGCCCGATTTGCTGGAATTACAGGCTTATACCACTGCACCTAGCTAACATTTCTTTGTTTCTAATGTATTGAACATTTATTGCTATAACTTTCACAAAACAAAAGCTTTTTAGAATCCTCAGTAGTTCGTGAATACATAAATTATTAATCCATGTATCAAAAGATTGAGAACCACTGGTATAGGAGATTGATGAGATTCATTTAGGCTCTTCTTTATATATTGCTGTACTTCAAGCTCCTGTCTCTTTTAAGCACATCACCTTTCTTTTTCAGAGATCAAGAGATTTAAAGTTCTATTTCTGTCCCAAAGTCTTCTCTGAAAGTAAAAAGCTTGTTAGTCTTCCAAAAATAACAATTCTTTGTTTTCCTTTCCAGATTTGATGGTAGAGTGGTGGCAAAGCTCCCCTTCACCCCTCTTTCTTACATCCAAGGGCTGTCTCATCGGAACCTGCTGGGAGATGACACCACAGACTGCTCCTTCATCTTCCTGTACATCCTGTGCACCATGTCAATCCGACAAGTGAGTGGTCACAGCCATGTTCCACCCGTGTCCTTTGTCACCCTCACACCGTGGTTAGCTTCCACCTATAGACTACTGGAAATGCTTATCTGCTGGTGCTGAGGTCTTTCGGCTGCTCATCCTGAAGCTATAACTCTGGATCACCGATCCTTAGGAAGGAGTGGTAGTTACCACACCAAGCATGGTTTCCATTCCCTATTCTTGCAGTGGGGAAAGAGAAAGGGGCCAGCTCCCCCTGTCCCTGTAATACCAGAGGCACTCCCTTGACACTGGCGATGATCCCTGTGACCCACCCTCACAGCCCAGTCACTTCTCATCAGGCTCCACCTCACACTACTGGGATCAAGTTTCCAACTTGAACTTTGGGAGACACACTCAGGCCATAGAACCAGGATATTCACCTACAAGCAGGTTCTTTTCATTTGCAGTTAAACTTTAACCACTTTAGAGACAAGTCATTCAGAAGAGCAGATGATTCAGGCATCACTGTAACCCGATCTCCTTGTGAGTTGGTTCCGGGCAGGGAGAACTGATCCCTGTCATTGCTGAAGATGATTCTAGCCTTTACTCTATGGCAGGAATTGCTGATGCTGAAAATAGATGGATAAATAGCAATTGTCTGTACCCTGCAGACTCACATCCTAGGTGGGGAAACAGACCCAGAAATTATATCAGAGTGGTTGGCGCGTGTGTGTGTATGTATGTGTATACACGCATGCACACACAAAATACTGCAAGATTTAAAAACATAGTACGGGAGCATCATGACCACAGAGACGAATTCTCTGGAACCAAGAGTCTCTGCAAGAGGACCACTCGAGGTGTGTCCTTAAGGCTGGGTGGGCCTTTTCAGTTTTATTCGCGTTCTTGGCAAAGGCTGCAGTGTGAGAGAACGCACAAAGGCATGAGGTGTGTGGGGTGGCAGGCTCTGAGTCCTCTAAGTGGGTACAGGAGGAAAGTGGCTTTAATCTGCCTCACAGCACAACATTGATTTCCTGTTTTTTAATTTTGTTTTTGTTTTGTAGTTGTATCTGGATAGCATGCCTTTATTTTATTTGTCTACTTTTATGTGGTGCTAAGGATTCAGCCAAGTGCCTCACATGTGCTAGGCAAGCACTGTACCACTGAGCTACACAGCCCCAACCCATTTTTGTGTTTTATTTAGAGACAGAGTCTCACTGAGTTGCCTAAAGCCTCACTAAATTGCTGAGGCTGGCTTTGAACTCGTGATCCTCCTGCCTCAGCCTTCAGAGCTGCTGTGATGACAGATATGTGCCACCATGTCCAGCTGTTTTGCGTTTCTTGTAGTGCAGGTCTGTTGGTGACACATTCTACTAATCTTCATTTATCTGAAAGTACCTTGTCTGTATTATTTTTCCCCCGTTTTTTACTGGTACATTATAGGTTTGTCGTTACAGGTTCATACTCACACACATGACATCGTCTTTCCTTTTTTTGGCACTGGGGACTGAGTCCAGCCAGGAGCACTAAACCACTGAGCCACATTCTCAGCCCTTTTTTTTTTTCCCCTCCATTTCTTAAAATTGAACCAGGGTCTTGCTAAGTTGCTGAAGCTGGCCTTGAACTTGTGACCTTCTTGCCTCAGCCTCCAGAGTCTCTGGGTCGCTCATGCATGACTTAGGCATAGCTATTTATCTGATTTTAAAATGTAGTCTGCTAATTTCAACATTTGAAATTTGGACTCTGTCTGTTGCCTATTTTCAGTATGAGTCGTGTTTTCCTGTTTCTTGATGTGTCTAATGGTTTTGGATTGTGCCTTGGACAGTGCGTGTGGTGGTAACAGACTCTGGATTACTTTATTTTTTATAAGAATGTCATTTTTTGTTTGAGTAGGCAGTTAACTTAGTCCTTATTTATCTCTGTCCTTTCTAGCTGTTACAACAAAACACTATAAACCAGATTGCTCGCACACACTAGTACTTTGTTTTGGAATGTGAGAATTCAAGATCAAGGCAGTGGCAGCTTCAGTGTCTGGCACGGCCTCCTCGCTGCATCCTGCACGGTGGAAGGGATGAGGCAGCTCCTGGGTGAGGCGGAGCCCTCCTGCAGAGCCACCCCCAGGGTCTCACTGTCTAATACCTCTGAATTGTGGGGAGGCAGACATTTAGGCACTATTGTCTCCTCTGTGGTAGGGGACAGTGGTGATCTTTAAGTTAGTCGTATTAGACAGCTGGGCAGCTGGGAGTTGTGTCAGATATATTTACTTCAAGTCAGACAGAGATTTGAGCAGTTTATATGGGAAATTTGGATTCCCCTTATCAAAGGCCCAATAGTTTTCCAAGGCTCGTCCCCATAATTTTTAGTTGCTGTGGTTACCCTAACCCTGCCCTTTGCTTCTTTAAACTAGTTAAGGCACTTTCATTCTTTTAGACACGCAATGAGGTACCACCTGAGTCCTGCCTCCATTATGAGCTTTTTAAAAAAAAATGAAGGCAAACCTCTCATTTTCTTGCACTAACCTAAATTTCAGAACATTCTTCTTGACTGATCAAAGAAAGGGCTTAAACAAGAGATCTGGGTGCATTTTCATTGGAAAGATGGGAAACGGAGGGAGGAGATAGGAGAGAAAGATTATCCTGACCCCAGCAAAAAAGACCTTCATTATTAAGGGGCCCTTTTTTTCAGTTAGAACAGAAAATATTCAGCATTACAGAGGAGCCTGGTGAGGGTTTGACTGTAATCCCAGGACTGGGGAACTGAGACAGGAGGATCACAAATTTAAAGCCAATCTCAGCAATTTAGTGAGATGCTGTCTCAAAATAAAAAGGGCTGGGGTGTGGCTGGGATGTGAACCCCTTGGTTCAATCCCTGGTATAAAAGGAAAAATAAATTATAAAGGAAGTAGTGTTGCTCCAGAGCAGATTTGATGCACTTGTCCTTCATTCAGAGTTGTTTTTTTTTTTTTAATATTTATTTTTTAGTTGTAGTTGGACACAATACTTTATTTCACTTATTTATTTTTATGTGGTGCTGAGGATCAAACCCAGGGTGTGAGGTGAGTGCTCTACTGCTGAGCCACAACCCCAGCCCACTTCATTCAGAATTTTCATTTCCACTTTGCAAGATGTTTGTTGAAGTCTGTACTATGATTTGTGATGTCATTAGACACATTCTAGAATGTAGTGGCTCCTTGAAGGTGCGTGGTGGTAGGGAGGGAAAGACCAAAAAAAGGACCCATCTAAGGCCTTCAAGTCCCCAACTTTATTTTGTTTTCTGTATTGGATTGGGTTTTATTTAAAGATGAAGTCTTTCTGTGGCTTAAAGGGTCTGAAAGCTATTTATGTAGTCATAGTCTCCTTTTTTTTAGGGTAATAGAGTAAAAAATATTGCTTAAGCCTCTGAATAGTTTGTCAGTACTGGAACCCAAGTTTTTTGACTCCTGTCCATTATTATTTGTCGTGCCCCTATAAGTCTGCTTTTTCAGTACTTGATCTTTACATCGTTCTCCCAAGTGATCTATCCAGATGTATCGTAAGAGCCCTGGGAATATTGGAAGGGGTATTTGAAGTGATTGCATTTTGTACCAGGCTTTGCTAATCCAGTAAAGGTTAGATTATGGTGGTTAATGAGATGTCGTGATAGATTGGAGGTGAGGGCCGGTTGCCAGGTGCTGGAATTACTGACATTGAACCAAGGGTTGCCATCACTGTGATTTTAGCCAAATGATGAAGAGTGGAATTGAGCAGAATGTGCTTATTGTCAGTAATCAGAGTCTTCCTGAAATACGCCAGTTCTTGCCCTTTGCAGAGAGAGGAACGTACTTCCTGTAGTGGTATTACTTCTCTCAGTTTCCTGCCAGTGGAAGACATGATTTTGGGAAAATGTTTCATCTTTGTTTTTCCCTTTTGTTACCCTATTGTGCAGGACTGGGCAGGCATTCAAAATGATTGTTTTTTGTTTTTTTCCGAAGCCTGATGATATCTTACTATATTTTGCATTTGTATTTTTTTTCCCATGGTATCTTCATTATATATTAAAACTCAGGTCTTTTAACCGCCCCTCCCCCCTCCTTTTTTTGTGTGCTGAGGTTTAGGGCACTTCACACTCACAGCCCTTTTTATTTTATGTATTTATATGTGGTGCTGAGAATTGAACCCAGTGCCTTACACATGCTAGGCAAGTACTCTACCACTGAGCCACTGCCCCTGCCCTACTCTTTGCTTTTTTAAGAAGGGCTTTGCAAAGTTGCCCAGGCTGGTCTTGAATTTGTGATCCTCCGGTCCTCCTCTTGAGTTGCTGGGGGTTACAGGCATGCACCGACATGCCTGGCTACAAAATGTGTGCTTCTAAACTAAACCTTGCTCTTTAGAAAGGCCTGAAAAATTGGTCTCAAGGATACCTGAGGGACTGTAGGAAAGCAGGTCACAGTGTGCTGCTCGGTGAGTCCTGGCGGTTGATGTCTTTTTGTCCTTATTGCATGCAGAGGATATAACAACCATCCTTTTTGGTTCATAAACCTAAGTTTGGGTGTTCACGCCATCATGTGTGATGTGCCTCCCTCTAAATCTTGTTATGTCGTCACACTGCCCATCTGACCTGGGAAAAGGGTCAATAAAGTACTCCAATGAGTTGTCAGAGGACGTACATGCTGGGACAGTGCCTGGCACAGTGTCATGCTCAGTCACTGTGGGCCCTTACTGTTACTGCTTCATCTTTGCGCTGTGACCTTCACTTTGAGGTAGCGGCCCAGAAATATTTTTGTTTAATGCAACTACTATTTGTATATTTGAGTACTCTTTATATGCATTTTATATAATTATTTTTAAGGGTAGTTTTGGGTTCATATAAATTCAGCAGAAGGTACAGAAGAGATTTCTTATATATCCTTGTTGTCTACAAATGCCCTGCCTCTTCTATTGTTAGTATCCCCAGCAGAGTGGCACGTTTGTTAAAATTGATGAATGCACATTGATACGTCTTTTTAACCCCAAATCCATAGTTTACATCAGGGCTTAGTAGTAGTAGTAGTAGTAGTAGTAGTAGTAGTAGTAGTAGTAGTAGTATTTGTAGTAGTAGTAGTAGTATTGGGTATTATTTTGGTATTCACTGACCTGGAGGCAGGAGAAAACTTACCTTGAACCCAAGGTCGTTATACCACTGAGCCACATCCCCAGCCCTATATAGTTTCTATTTTGAGACAGGGTTTTGCTGTGTTGCCTAGGGCCTTGCTGAATTGCTGAGGCTGGCTTTGAACTTGCAGTTCTCCTGCTTTAGCCTCCTAAGCTGCTGGAATTAAGGCGTGTGCCTCTGCTCCTGGCCAGGTTTAATTTTTGTGTTGAACATTCTGGAAGTTTTGATTTACATGCATTTTTTTTTTTTTTTTGGCATGGTTATGACAAAGCATTTCTTTTTTATATGGATATACATATAAGAAGAAGGAGCACAAACATTTGTTCACTCAGTGATGTTGGTGTTTTTCTGTGCTCATGCATAGTCTTAATAATTGTGATTTTTTTTCCACAGAGCTGCTGCTAGGATAAGAATCTGTTACAGGGGTGGTTTAATAGAGGTAGACTCTGCTCCAAGTTCTGTGTCAGCGCCTTCCTGACTTGTAACCTCTGACTGCCTCAGCTTTTCACCTCAAAGGCAGGGGTACTCAGAACTGTGACCTCGGCCTTAGAAGTTGAGACACTTAAAGATGCATGGAAGTGTAGGCTGTTACTACCGCTGTGGAGAGCTCCTGCCCGCTAGGCGTCCTGCCAGGTCAGTTAGTTCCTGCAGGTGCTTTAGAGGAAGAGATTTCACTGACCTGGAGGCAGGAGAAAACTTACCTAAGGAAAAATGGCTAGAAGACCTTGGTTTCATTTATAAGTCTATAGGAATGTAAACACTTTATTTAGAATCTGACTACGGATAAGGTTGCATGCAAGTAAATGTATAATATTTGTATCTAAATGCAAATACTGAATAATGGAACTGTGGTGCAGCTAACTGACAGTTCTGCAGGATCCTGTGACAGGAGTGCCAAGGAAGAAGCATGTGGCTGCCAGGATCCCTCCAGCCCTTCTCTGAGTGCTAGGGTCTGACCTCACACTTGTCCCTGCAACTGCCCAAGCTGTCCCCATCTGGAGCAGTGGCTCAACTCAAATCATTATATGCTCTGAATCAGTGTCTTGTTTCTCCAAAGTGTTTTTTATTTATTTTCCTTTAAGTTGCTGACTTTAAATCCTAGAAACCTGTGCTTTATGGGCATCAGAGATTTTTGACCTGACTTTTCATCTCTGAAATGTTAAGGACTCATTTAATTGACCCTTTTGTCTGCAGAATAACTGAGCAAGGCTCCCTTGTATATTTTGTCTAGACTGTATGTGTTTATCATCAAATATTCTGTAATGTCTTACTTCAAAATTTTTTTTTTAATTTGCAGTACTGCACATTGAACTCAGTGGCTCTCTACACCCCTAGCCATTTTTAAAATTTTATTTTTAGACAGTCATACTCAGCTGCCCACATGGCCTTGAACTTTTTTTTTAATCCTCCTGCCTCACCCTCCTGGGTAGCTGGATTATTTGCTTTTCTTGCTGCTTTGTGCAGTGATCTCTTTAGAGATGGGCATGAAGGAAATATTTTTATTATGTAAAGGTAGTACAAATTCAGACTATTCTGTGGCTTGTAGTCTGATTTACTAATGATGGATTTATCTTCTTACCCTGTTTTCAAATTTCTCCTCTAATATGAGCCATTATATTGTGAAATACCTGTGTTGAAATATTTTATGGTAAATATATAAGCTGTGATCTTTATATTAAAATATTTCATTATATTCTGACAGTATAAATACACACACTTTACTCTGCTACACAACCTGTAAGGTCATCATTGATCCTAACAACCAATTGAAGGAGTGTGTCCTTCCAGAGCAGCTTAGTTGTCAGTGCCCTGTGTCCAGTGGGGGCTGTGACTGCTTATGTCAATCTGGAGCTCTCTGGTATCCTGTGTCCATAGCGGGCTGTGATAGGTGAATGAGTGGTTCAGGGCGTGCAGACTCCGTGCCGTAGGTGGCATTTGTTGTGAAGACCAGGACTTAATTTACACAGAGAGCACCAAGCAAGAGAGGGCAAGAACCAAAGCACCTGGGTTGCAGCTTACTCTCCTTAGAATTTAGCTTTGTCATTGTGGCCAGCTGTCACCCCTTGTCAACCTTCAGTTTTCTCCATGTGAACTGAAGGCACTGAGTGGGAATAATTGGATGAATCCCAGTCTTTTTCTAAAATGCCTATGAACTTTCAGCAGCTGGCCTCTGCTTCACCTCTGCACATTCGTACACCCTGTCCGTTCCCTCTTTGAAGCAGGGTCTGCTCACCAGTGCTCTTCAGTACACCTTTACGCCCTTTACCTGTTGAGTCATCACCTTTCGAAAGTCCACTTTGTTTACCCAAGACCTGTTTATGCTGATTTTACTTATTATATTTACGTAATATAATTAAATGTTATATTATTCAGTGAAATCAGAGTAAAAAATTATTTAATGGGAGCTAAAATAAATTTTGAAAAATTGAATAAAGATGAGTTTCTAAATATATATTTTGCATTAGATATAGGTGAGATAAAGAAAGAGGGCAGGGAGTATTAAAAATCTATGAAGATTCTGGACTCCAGATTGCTCTTCCAATCTCTGAAGTTCTTTCACCACTTTAAATAAATTGAAACTGAAAATTGTAGACAGTGCAATAATGACTACATCTAGCCAGAACTCCCATGCTCACAGAAAAGGCCTTGTGACAAAAAATGATTTAATTATGCGCTTTAGATGCCTCATGTTCAAAATAAAAGATTATCTGGAGGCTGGGAGTGTCGCTCAGTAATGGAGCACTTGCTAGCATGTGCTTTAAGGCTGCAAACAAAAAAAGATCATCTCTTAATAAGATTTTCCACTTGAAACAGCAGCTGCTGTGGTTGGGAGACCAAGGTTCATCAGGTAAAGAGGTCTTTGCTGTTCCATGATGTTTTAAAAATAACAGTGATGCGCTGGGTTGTGGCTCAGTGGTAGAGCGCTTATCTAGCATGTGTGAGGCACTGGGTTTGATCCTTAGCACCACATAAAAATAAATAAAATAAAGGTATTGTGTCATGTACAACTAAAAAAAAAAAAAAAAAAAAAACTGGTCATCTTATCAAAGGTCTTAACAGCCAGCCCTTCAGCTGGTGTGAATCCTGTCTACCTGAGGTCTACATGGGGCACTTCTCTACCACCAAAGTAAACCCATTCCCACTGTGTTTTCTTCACAGAACATCCAGAAGATTCTCGGCCTTGCCCCGTCACGCGCTGCCACCAAGCAAGCTGGTGGATTTCTTGGCCCTCCACCTCCTTCTGGGAAGTTCTCTTGATCTCCAGCAGGACCTTTACTTCTTGGCATTCTTTGTACACTCTCAGATCTGACTGGCAACTGTTTTGCAGCATGAGTGATGGCGGCCTTGGTACTGGGGCCACCTTTAGTCTGGCCTCTTCTTGGCTTTCTGCTATGGTAAGCAGGAGAGTGGCATCAGTGAGAGGACCGTGCTTCTGCTCACAGAGAGCTTTTTTTTTTTTTTTTTTAAATAAGTGAATTAACTAGTTAAGTTCAGGTGGTTTTTCTGTAATTAAAAGTAAATGTCATCTTTCTGTTTCCATTTTCATGAGCATTTCCTGTGGGAGTGCCATGTTCCGCAATGGCTGGCTCTCCAGAGCATGGAGACTGACTAAGTCTTGTATTTTGTAAAGCCAGAACTGTCATGATCAATAAAGAGGCCAGATTTTTAGCTCTCACATTTACAAGGAAAGATGGTGCGTTTTGTTCTTGCGCATCCTGAGACCAACAAGAGTTCAAATGTGTTTTCATATGCTGTTTTACCTCCCTTAACCTCTGGTAATCTACCTGGAGAGCTGTTGGGGTAGGAATTGGAAAGCAGAAATGGAAAGTGTGACTCTTGAGAGCTGAAAAGCGAGGTCCCCCGTACCTCCCTGCGTCCACTTCACGTCTGGCTTCATGTGAGGGCATCTCTGTCTTCCCTGCAGCCATGGTTGTGGTCACACATGGCTGATCTTCAGAGTTTCCTTCTAGTCACAGTGACCTTCACTGCTTGTCCTGCTTCTTCGTAAGGGGGACGGGTGCCTATGCCATGGTCCTTTTCCCAGTCCTGCCTAGAGTGATAACCCTGTCCAAACACTGACACACTTAGTCTCCATAGAAGTGGGTTTCATGTCAGTGGGGAAAAGTGGTGACCGTTACACCAACAGCAGACTCTCACTAGCAGCCGTGAAGTCCAGAAGGCAGTGGAGTAATAACCTTCGAAGTGCTGAGGAAGATCAGTATCAACTTGGAACTTTATGCACAGCTAAACCATAAGATTGGGAGCAAACTAAAGACATCCTGAGATGTAAAATCCATGATGCACGAGTTATTAAAGGGCATATTTCGGAGACAAAACAGAAGACCGCTTGGGGGAAAGTATGGGAGACTAGAAACCATGGTCAGAGAAATTGCTTAAGTAGGCAGATAAACACATTCCGTGGATTATTAAGGATTATCTCAAGACAATACCCATTCTTACTCATCTGACAGGTGAAGCTAGAAGCAAGAGAGGTTATACAGCTTGCTCAATGTCACACAGCTGTGAAGTGGCAGAGTCGGCCATTTGGCTCTGGTCTCAGAGCCTCTCCACAGGTCCTCCCTTGCCTCCTTAGTGGACAGAACTTAGTAGACAAAAGTTGGCCTTTGTTTTTTGTTAGTTTGTTCATTTGCGGTTGAACCCAGAGGTGATCACCACTGAGCCACATCCTCAGCGCCTTTCAAGTTTCATATTGAGGGGGGGTCTCCTCGAGTTGCCCAGGCTGCCCTTAGCTTGTGGCCCTCCACCTCAGCCTCCAGAGAGCTGGTGTTACAGGCATGCACTGCCATGCCTGGCTTGTCTTCCTTAATCTGTCTTCTCAAAATGGTCAACATGGGGGAGAACACAGCAGGAGCTTAAGAAAAGCAGAAATCTCTGAGGTCACTGCCCTCAGAGGGATGTTGGTAACATGACTTTCTGGGGTCTTCTCCCCCATCATCGTGGACTGCTCCAAGAAGAATGATAATTGAAAGAATCATGAGCAAAGTTCACAATAAGAATGGCAACGAAGAGGGAATAAAGTTTAGAGGGAGAAGGAGCCCTCCTCAGGATTCTGCCCTCATCTTGGTGCAGTGGGACCATGGCCACCTAGCCATTCCCACCGAGTCTTTGGTGCCAGTTCCTTCAGGGCAGGTGTATTTTGGTTCTCCTGTTTCTATGGTAAAGAGTAAATACAGGAGAGGGAAAAGCAGAGATAACGTACTTTCACCAATTGAGCCCAGCACATACACCCCCAGCCTCTTTTAAGTTTTGTGTTGAGACAGGTCTCCCTGAGTTGCCCAGCTGTCCTCGAACTTGTGATCATACTCCTCAGCCTCCACAGTCGCTGGGATTGCAGGTGTGCACCAGCATGTTCACCCCGTTCTTGAAAAAGCACTGCAGGCTGAGATGTGGCTCAGTGGCAGGTCACTTTCCTAGGGTGCCCAGCCACACCAAAGAACAACACCACAACCAGCACTGCAGCAAGGATGCATTACAGAGGAGAGAGAGCTGTTGAGTCACAGGATGTGGGTTCACTGTGGACTCCGTGTTTTAAGATGACTTGTCCTGAAAAAATTTCCAGCCCAGTCATTTGATGCTTCTCCATCTGGAGCATCACTTTTAAGACAACACTGCGATCCCGGGAGGTTCCAACATCTCCCAGAATCCACCATCTGGCAGATGTCCTGTGTAAGACAGATTGTGCCTTTTCTAGGAAAAAAGAACCCAGCAGTTAGCTGCATTGCACTTGCACTGTGACATACTGTGTGATGAACTTGAAAATGCCACCAACGCAGGTCAGCCTGGTGTACTGACAGACTGCGTTTCAGAGCTGAGCAAGGGTAAGAAGTGGAAAGCTGCGGTGCGCAGGAGCCAGATGCCTGTGAGCAACTAGGCTCTCTTCCAGCAGGCTTCCCTTCCAATAGGGCAGGGACTTCAAACGACATGGGGTCGAAGAGCAAATGGGTCCCCTACATCTAAAGCAAAAGCAGCCTGTTACTTACTAGTAGGTGGTGTGTGTGTGTGTGTGTGAGAGAGAGAAATGCGAGCATGCACTAATTATTTAAAAGAACAGTAAGATTTAGAACTCCTGGCACAGCACGCCTGGGACTAGTAGATTTTTAAATAAAATATATTTCAGTACTGTCAAAGGTACCATACTTTTTTTTAAAAAAAATTGAAGTTAGTCTTTGTTTTATCCTTGCATTGAGTTTTTTTTTTTAATTTTTTTTGAAAAGGAAGAAATCTAAAAATTCATTGAAGTTAAATATATACATGGGCTAGGACGTGGCTCAGTGGTAGAGTGCTTGCCTAGCATGCTTAAGTTCCCGAGTTCACTTCCCAGCACCTAAAACAAAAGAACATGTGCATGCTCCCACGACTACACCCAGGAAGAAGACAAGGAAAATTTCAACTCCTGGTCAATTTAGTGTCACCTGTAATCTCGTCTGCTTCTACCCCTTAAAAAATTAGAAGCAAATCTCAGATGTCATAATTTTTGTGTAAATATTTCAGGGCTTTTCAAAGTATGTATAATCTCATAATTTTTTTTTACACCTAAATTGACAATTCCTTGATATCATGAGTTGTCTACAGGTTGGCAAGGTTTTTACGGTTCTGGAAACGGGAGCCAAATGACAGTTAGCTGATGTGCTGCTTCTACCATCTGCTGTGGTGGTTCATGGTCTAGAGGGGAGTCTCCCGGAGGGCTTCTTAAGGCACAGGCTGCGTGGCCCTGCGGGAGCTGCCAGCTCTGTAAGCCGCCAGTGGGGAGCGTTGCGCCCTGTTAACCGGGGCTTGGGTCCACTCCCACAGCGCTCCCCACCACCTCTGTGCCACCAACAGTCTACTGTTGAAAGTGGGGTGCCACCTTATGTGTTTCCCTCCCTGGGATCCTGCTGACTATATCCTCTTCTGTGACCTGTTTGTCCCTTCCTATAAGGTCTGCAGCTTTTAATCCATTAATTAGGGAATAAAAGTTGTAACTCTGTTCCTTTATTTGTTAGATAAAATGCTTATACAGATAGAAATCTCTAATCACCATTGGGGAAAAGTGAAGTTTTTCATTTGTTTTTTATGCTGTTTTTTTTTTTTTTTTTTTTTATACCCAGGGCCTTGTACATGCAAGGCAAGCACTCTACCAACTGAGCTATATCCCCAGCCCTAAAGGTGAAGTTTTTAAGAAAGGCAGAACAAAGACGCTATTCTTCATGCCTGTAGAATAATGCGTGGTTCAGTGACCTCCAGTGGTGAAATGGTGAACAGTTAAAGCACCCGTGTCATTAACAGTCCACGAATTTAAAATACTTGAAGTCCTTTTCTTTGGAGGTTGGAGTGAACCCAGGAGCACTCTACCACTGGGTATATCCCCAGCCCATTTTGTTTTGAGACAGGGCCTTGCTAAGTGGCTGAGATCACAGACGGACACAACCTGGGCCTGGCTTGACTTTAATCCTCTGAAGTGGTCACTCCTGGTCATGCTCAGATTGTTCCATTTGTGGCCAGTGAATGCTTCCTCTATTTGGTTCCTGAGTCTTTGCATCACCCAAGTGTCAGCCGCATCCTCACTGGGCGCTGTTACAAGGTAGCCCAGGCTTATCTTGTGCATTTCCTGCCTCACTTGAAAGCAACAGTTTCTCCAAGGAAGACTGTCTCCTTGTTTCTGGAAAATGGTCTTTGGAGAATTGCAACCAGAGCACTAGGGATGCCTATTGAGACGGGTCTAGGAGGTTTCTATGGGGACTAAGATACTACTGTGGTGGCTTTAAGATAAAATACTCCATGAGTTCATACTGGTAATCAGGGCTGCATGGTTTTTACTTTTTTTTTTTTTTTGGTTTGTATTTGCCTTACCACACCAATGCTAAGAATACCAGTTTTTAGCACCAAGAATGATATAATTAGGATATCACATAATCACTCGTTTAATTTTCTTTTTCATTTTCAGAGATTACTTCTTAATTTCCTTTATATACTGTTTTAATGAGCTTCCGGGCTAGTGTGCAGAAACATTTCAGCTACGTAGAGATGGGCACTGACCCATTCCTCATGCACTTTCATGGGTGCGGCCTCGTTCATGAGCCCCACGCTGTGGGGCAAGATGGACAGGTACAGACATTGCCTGGGTGTGATCTCATTTTAACCTGGTGGTGGGGTGGCAGGACACCGCTGTAGAGACATAGCCTCTTACTCCTCCCACACTTGCTGGCCAAAGAGAGAAGACCCAGCATGTGGCAGGGTCCCCAACAGACCCCTTGGGACCTCTCACCCGTTTCCCCGCAGTCACCTCCCAGGTGGCCTCCTGCACTCGGGTCTCAGCAGCCCCATCTCTCACCCTGCGTGGTGATGGTTTGGGTAGAAATGTTTGTTGCTCTTCTGGGGAAAGTTGCTGGTGGCTCCCGTGGCCTTGAACTCAGTGTCTTAGCCCCAGGGTCATCCAGTGTGCGCCTCTAGCCCCCCCCCCCCATCCCCTTACTAGGTCCCTGGCTCTGGTCAGGTGGCTTCAGTGACAAATTCTGCTTTGGGAGTGTTCCTTTGGACCTTACTACCTCTGTCTTCCCTGCCTGTATGTCCTTCCTCTATGTGCCCAAGTTTCTACTGCTGCGTTCGACTCCACGTCATGCCTCGTCAAAGTTTCCGGTGACCTCAGGTGGCTGGGTTCCATCTGCCCTTCCTGTGTTGTCATTGTGACT